CTCCTCTCCCTCCTCCTCCTGCTCCTCCATTCCTTTCTTGCAGTGTTAAGAAGCTAGGTCACTGTTTATGTAGCAAGGATTCAGGATATGCTTTAGATATTACATTTCCTAGAAACAGACCCTGAGATGATACTGTGTACATGTGATTTATTAAGAAACGAGTAAGAGTGTCAGGGAAGGAAGACAAGGAAGGGCAGCAGGGCCAAGCAGGGGTGTGGTTACAGATGAAGTCCAGCAGAGGGGAGCTTTGGCCCCACCCTACAGGAAAGGTCTGTAGTGGAAGTTAGGTCTCTGTGCTCCTAGAGTACTCTATTACAGCTTAAATTCTGAGCACTCTGTTTGCAGAAGTCTATGGAAAACAGTGGAAGCCCAACATTCATTTTCGGCATGTACTCATGGATTAAGCCTCCATGGAAGTCCTTCTGACCACTCACCAGAGATGTGAACAGACTTGTCTTCATGCAGAGTGCATGGAAAGTGCGTTACCTCAGCCCTTCTGATCAGCCAAAGTAGGGGCAGTCTATTTTAGAGGTTTGCCTGGGTGTGTTCTTGAAGGAGATTGCCATACCATGGTCACATAGTCCTGAGTCATGCCCTGAAAGCGCTGGACCAATCTTGTGAGCTTTTCTGTCTAACACAAGGTATGTGTCCCAACCGTGGCGTTGTTCCAACTTCTGTAGTCCCACGTTTCAATGTGATCTATTGATCTTCTACCAATCACGAGTCTGTGACAGTTGCCTTTGCCCTCCCATGTGTTTTTTATAGTCTTCCATTCTCTGTAAACCCTTGGATGATATTATGCTCTTGTGCATTATGGCCTCATTGGGATGATGTGCTTTTGGCCTTGTTTTTGTCTTTGTTTGAGACATAATCAACATCCTTCTTTAGTTATATTTTAGATTTGGTGTCTTCTTTTGTACCCTAAACTAATCCAGAGATAGAGAATCCCCTCTTTTTTTTTGTCCTTGTTGGGGACATTCTTTGGCTAAGGACTGTCCCAGGGACACACACGTCCTGGCACCTTTGGCTCCTCTACTCATGGAGAATTTGGTCTAGAAGTCCAAAGCCAGTCCTCCAAAGAAGAAGAGGCCTCTCTGCTGGCAACTGCAGGCAAAATCACCCCAAAGCCGGAAGAGATGCAAGGACACAGTAAAAGGGATGTGAGGAGCTAGATGGAGCGCTGAATGTCCACTATACTTTGGAGCGATCTTTTTCCTTATAAAAGATCCTTTGATAAACCTTTGCAATTTAGAATTTAGGACAAATGCTCAGGTGTTTCCCTGGGAATCAACTTGTAACATGACATTCTGCAAATGAGGACTTACTAAAGGGCTGCTACGTCCTTTTATCTTGGCATATAGGGAGAGTTTGGAGATTTAAGTGAGGCGATCTCTTTGAGACATCTAGTTTAAGTCCTTGGGCTCTTGACACAATATCGCTGCTGCTTCTCACTGAACTAAAAAGGAGGAATTTTGGAAAGGAAAATGAAGTCCCTAAAATAGGAATTTCTGAAAGAGGGACATTCAGGATGGAAGTCAGGGGTCAAAGTGACATTGGATAAGAGCTGAGTATTCCCTTGGACCCATGAACATTGTGCTTTGGAAACAGTAGGTGAGCCCAGGAATGTGAATTTTAAAAAGCGTTCACTTTGGTATTCCAACACGGGATCCCATTGCAGCTGCACCTGGACCTGGATGGAAAAAGCAACCAAGATCATCTTCAGTAGAACCACCCAGTGGATACGAAACAGCAGAACGGACAGATCCAGCAGGGCTGACCTTCTCTCAGACAGCCCCACATAGCTCAGTGCTCTGGGGATACATTTGAGCTGACCTGAAGAGGTAGATACTAGATTTCCTAAAGAAAAATAGGTGAGTCTCAGGGAAAGTCATGGGTAACCTTAGAGCCGGAATTTAAGGACATGGAGTCCTGACCCGCCCCGCCCCCCACCACCAATAACTTCTCATAGTAACAAACCAAACACAGAAACTTCATTATACACAAAAGCAACAGGTAAAAGTGCAACAGGCAATTTACTTATACAAACACAACCAAAAAAGCCAGATTAAAGTTAATTATCCCTTACACACCGTATAAGTAATCTATTTACAGTTACATTTAACCAGCTTTGTTGCTGTGAAGAATACCGCTCATGTACAGGTGTGGAGGGATGATTTGTATATTTTTCACATATTCACTGAACACAACACCATGTCAACACAGAAAGATGAAACTTGAAAAAGATTTCATTGGAAATCCCTATATAATCTTCATTTTTGTTACTCGTTTGGAAAGTGGTCACCTGAAGAGAAGAATGTGTCGTTCTGGCTTGTGAATTACGCAATCACGCACCCAGCCTAGACTTTGTTGAACACCAAGTCTCCTCCATTCCTCTTCAGACATGATATGGGTTTGGGGTACTTGTTTTGAAAGTTTTCTGGGTAACATGACATACTGGTACACATAATGTTGATTGGAGTATATGATAGGTAGGTTTGTTGTGCCAATCTGGCCAATGAATGCATGTGAGATTGGTTGAAGGGTGGAGAGATAAGTAGCTCAGCGAACCTCACCTCCCTTTCTCTTGCTTTTTGATCATCGCACCAGTGTGCGGCTGCCTTGCTCGTTCTGTGCCTCCATTTGCAAGCTACGCTACTTGTGGGACACCTAACCCGTGGACTGTGTCGCTGTAACTTTAGCTTCCTTCAAGACCTGCTTCGCCACACCATTGGACTGTACATCTCTTGAGCTCGGGACTGTTGGACCCTGTCATCTGGTCGACTCTTGGTGACCTGCCTTGCTCTTTGCTGTCTGTGGCCGGATAGCCTGAATGGCTCTACGGAGGACTACCTGGTGGCTCTCAAGACTTGAAGGACTGCCAGCACACTAGCTGTCTCACGGAAGTGAGTTGCACTGAGCTATTTGTACTTCTTTATAGATTGTTTATTTCTCATGTTATCTATCTATCTATGTAAATATATAAAAAACATTATTAGTGTCCTGGTTTTGTTTCTCTAGAGAACCCTGTCTAACACAGAGTACTTGTGCAAATAGAATGCTTGCTTGTGAGCCATCTTGCCAGAAGCGCAGCGGGTCAGGTGGGTAAGGAAAGTGCATAATGAGACCAGCAGCACCAATGTCCTCACTAGGTAACAGCACCCACACAACGCTGGCGCTCCCTGTGTATCGCAGTCCAGGCACCAATTCTAGCACACAGATAAAGACATCCTTCACAATTCAGGGCCAGGACATTATGTTCCCATAGACTTTCTGCCCAATAATCTTTAACAAGATACTTCCTAGTCTCTCCTTTCTTCCGCTTAACTGAACTCCCAGCTGAACATCTAGAGTTAAAATGTTGCCTCTCCTTTAAGGCTTGGGTTTGTACAAGGCTTCAGCCCACCCCAGTCCTATCATCATTTATTCCATCATTCATGTAAGCATCTTAAAAAATCTCCTTTTTCTTTTTGAGATAAAGCCCCCAAAATCCAAACTCGCTGCCATCGAGTTGATTCTGAGGCACCCTATATGACAGGAGAAGTGCCCTGTGGGTTTCTGAGACTGTAACTTTTTACAGGAGGAGAAAACCCAGTCCTTCTCCTGAGGAGCTCCTGGTGGTTTTGAACTACTGACCTTGCACACCACATAACCACGACTCCACCGGGGTTCTTTCATTTTAAGATATGTACCATTATTTCTCTTGAATAGTAGAGTGCTAGTTGTTCTTCGTTGTAAGATATAAAAAGGCAGAAAAGGAGGAGCCAAGAGAATAGCCTTTGCCTTGAGTCTGCCCCTAATGGGCTGCCACTGTAGCAATCATCTGAGAGCAAGTCGGTCCTTGAACCTCAACTATCTCATCTGAGAACCCGCCTCATAGGTTTGTAGAGGATTCAAAGAATTCACGCTAAATCCATAGAGCTTTGAGGTGGTCGTAGGGTAGCCCTAAAGACAACATACTTCTAGCAAACCCACCTTCTGAATTAAGTCTCTTCAAAGGAATGGAGTCTGACATTAGTCATCACAATAATAAGAAAATAATAATAAGTATTATCAATTATTAATTAATCATTTATTTTTATTATAAATGATTATAATTTTATATCATAAATAATTATAATTAATTAATTATTAATAATTATAATAATTATTATTAATAATAAGAAAATAATATTTTTCTTAAAACTGAGTAAAAGTGCAAAGAGTACATGGGAGTCTTCTGTTTATTGAGATATTTTAAATATTCTCTCTATGGATCATCCTCACTATTTGTCAGAAGGGAGTTACTCCCTGAATTCGGTTGAATCTCCAAACTAAACTTCACCTGCTCCAGTACTGCTGCCAATGGACTTTATGGCCCTACTCTGAATAAGTCCCAAGAGCTTGGGGGAGGGCAAAAGGACTAAGGGAGGCTTGAAGAAGTCACCGAAGATATGGGGGCTGTGGGAAAAGTATGGTGAAGGCATCAGGGGGTCCCAGGCTATCAAAAAGATCTTAAAAGCTTGTCTTAAAAAAATAGCCAGCCATCTAAGTGAGATGTCCCCTAAGTCCACACAGAGGAAGCACACCAATCAGAGTGATCAAATAATCAATAAAATTCTAGATCATAGATGGAGTTTAAATTCTGAGCACTTGGTTTGCATTAGGCTATAAGTGAAAGCCTAAAATTCGTTTACAGAGCCCCCATATGGACTAAGTCTCCGCTGAATTTCTCTGGTCCATTGACCAAAGATATGAGTAGTCTTGCCCCAGAGTGCATCAGAATTTTGATTGCTGTAGATACAGTTAGGGTAAAATTAACATCTTCCCACAAGTTATCCTTTAAAAAAATTTTTTTTTCCTTTTAACCCATTCTCAGCTTGTCCTAGTTTTTATTTATTTCTAACTTTTGGATTGAGGTTCTACTGTGTGTTTTCTTCTGTTGTAGTTGCTCCTTTTTGTCGCTACTGTTGTTTCTTTTTAAATTTGAATGATGTTCGCTGTTGAAACTCAGGATAGGGAAATCTATAGAGACAGCAAATCGCTGGATCATTTTGTAGGGTTAGAACAGGAGAGATTGGGGAAAATGGGGAGCTAACAACAATGGATACATGGATGAAGAAGATATTCTAAAATTGATTGGAGTAAGGAATGCACAACTCTCTTTAATATACTTAACCACTGAAGTGTATGAAACTTGAATTATATGTCAATAAAACTTTATATAAGACTGAGGGAGGAACAGGCAGAGGTGAGGGACCTGCATACATTTGTCATTTGATCTTACTACACTAGCAACTATCTGCTAAACGTTAACCATGTGTCTTACATATGCATCCAGGGCTGCAGGCTTTGAGGAACATATGTCATATGCCTAGAGATCAGAATCCACCCCCCAAAAATGTATCCTTCATAAAAAAAGGAGTCAAAATTGATGGGAGTCCTCACAAGACATACATTCTGAGGCAGTCACTCAATTACATTATTTTGAAGACAAAATGTTGTTTGGGGAAGACACAGTAAACACACAAAGACTTCAATCAATGTCAGAGTTGGTAAATGAAGTGTGTGGTTGGGCATGGACTCCCCCACAATCACATCAATACAGTAATTATTCGTGTGTGTGTGTGTGTGTGTGTGTGTGTCTTAGGTCCTCACAAAGCAAATTTCCAATGTCAATATAAACAAGCCTTTAAAAGACCACTTTCAGAAGCAACCCAGTATGTAACAGAGTAGGAAAATAGATTACCCTTGGAGAAATGGGGGACAAGCCTGATAGCACATCACTTCAATGGATCCTTGATGTTGGGATCAAGTTTTCCACAGTGGAAGATGACGTAAGTCATATTGTCTGTCATCTGACTAAGAAAGAGTCTAGACGAGCTCTGACCATAAATGAACTCACATGTCGCTAGTGATGATAACACACGTAGAGCTTTGTGAAGAGGAATGAGACTGTTTTGTAAAATATGAACAGAAAAGGGGCATCATTCTAAGAAGTCTACGTGTGATGGCTTTCAATGACTGTATAACCAGATCAATTGGACATCAGACATGACAGTAGGTAAACTCAAGGTGTCAAGGAAAGGTTCGCATCTTCTCACGTAGGTACTCGCTTATCTGAATGGAGACCGGCATGCCTCTCTCACTCCTTCGTTCCCTTTGGGCTGCAGGATGCCCCGACTACTCCAACCCTAGCTTCTGCCTTCACCATCCAGTTAGCTCCAGAGAAGCAGCGGGGGGAGTCATCTCCAATCGAGGAGACCCTAACGCGGGCCTGTTTTAACTGTAGATGGTTGCTAAGTTTCATTTCTCTCCTCGGACCTTTCCCTTTTGCCCAATCCTTTAGCACGTGGGTTACGTTCTTCCAGCTTCCGAGGAAATGGGCTCTCGCGTGAACTCCTTCGGCGCTCCAGCCTCAGCTCCAACGTTCCAGAGGATCTGCCACCAACCGCCTCTCATTACTCAACTAGCTGTGGCTCCTGGCGAGGGGCAAGGCTCAAACCTCACCTGCGTTTTCTAAATCCCCTCGTTTATTGCTTCATTCATGTTCCATTGTTATTTCTCCTCACACATCTCCTGCTTTTCTTCCTGTGGCCCTCTCCCTTGACCTATTAGAATACCTACCCCTCCTCCCTCAGTAAAAAAGTAAGAGCAGCCCTCCCCTTAAAGCCCTGGCTCCTACTTGTCACCAGCTTTCTCCCCAGTTAGCTCTGAAAAGTGTCTGGACACTAAAACTGCACATTTCAGAAACACAACCCAAGCAACATGGAGGACAGAGACTCACATGAATGGCGGGCCATCCTGGCTCTGATAAAGCTCCTGACACAGGTCAGGCCTTGCTCCTCTAGGGATCACACCGTCAGAGAGTGTACCTGAAAAATGTAAAAGGGGGTGTTCTCCAACCTGGAGACACTGGCCAAGGCTCTCGGCACAGCTGTGCCTTCATCCCAGTGCAATGAGTTGTCCTCAGTGACGGATAGCAACGAACACGTTCTCCCCAAATTCCTCCTCACAAGCTGGGTATGTGCCTTACTGCCTGTTACGGTGAAATTACAAACTGATGGCTGATACACAAGCACTGGAGAACAAGAGAATTGAAGAGCTGCTAATTCTCCCCTCATGGCTCTTCAATAGACACCTGATGAGGGAAAACCATCTCAATGAGTTCTGCCCAGCCCAAATAGTGCTAATTGAAATGATCAAGATCATTAGGGCTAGACCAGAGGATGTACACTGGTACAGATAGGAACTGGAGATCCAGGGAATCCAGGGCAGATGATCCCTACAGGACCAGTGGTGTGAGAAGCGATACTGGGAGGGTAGAGGGAGAGTGGGTTGGAAAGAGGGAACCGATTACAAGGAACTATATGTGACCTCCTCCCTGGGGGACGGACGACAGAAAAGTGGGTGAAGGGAGATGTTGGACAGGGCAAGATATGACAAAATAATAATTTATAAATTATCAAGGACTCATGAGGGAGGGGGAAGCGGGGAGGGAGGGGTAAAATGAGGACCTGATGCCGGGGGCTTAAGTGGAGAGGAAATGTTTTGAGAATGATGAGGGCAATGAATGTACAAATGCGCTTTACACAACTGATATATGTATGGATTGTGATAAGAGTTGTATGAGCCCCTAATAAAATGATTTTAAAAAACCAAAACAATAGACAAATCCCTTTTCTAAGCTTATGCACTGGCGTGATATGTTAATGATATTTTTGGAGTCCCGCTAATCCTGATCAATTCATGCGAAGGAAGCAGAGCACAGAGAATCATTTACCACTGTCAGTGCTCTTTAGAATTACGTGCATGATCTTTATTCCAGGGCTCCACCGGTTCTCTAAACATAAAGATACAAGGTTTAGAAGCTAAAGATAAGAATCAATTTATTGTTGGAGAAACAGTTCCTCCTTATCATGATAGAAATTGCTAGAATACAATGGAAACAATAGAACACACCAAATACCGTTGGCAGATGCACAAAATACTGCGAAAGAATTGAAGCAACAAGGCTTAGAACAAATTACAGTGTGGGAGGTTGCTATACAGCTGGATGAAAGTATAAATGTTTTCAGCATGTCTCATCTTGTGGTAT